TGAATAGTAAATTATTTCAATGGCAACAAAAATGTTATTAAATATTAGTTTAAATTATTAAATTAAGTCCCTGCAATTTTTTTTTGTTTTAATCAAGCTTTTATAGTTTGATCTGTTAAACATATATGTTAACCCTTGAAATTTAAAATTAGTAATAAATTATTAAATTTTATAAAGAAAAAAATATTCTTGGAGTTTATAGAAAATTTAATTTAATACTTTTAGCCAACATAAAAAAATAAAATTTGATTTAATACATTGTTTGCATTTTTATTGATTTTTTATGAACATTCTTCCGGTATAAAAAATTTAGAAGACAACCTAATTATATAAATTTTGAGTTATAAAGATTATGTAATTAATTCTAAATTTATACAATCATTTATTAAAAATATAAAAGTTCTTAATTTTACTTTTTTAGAGGAAAAACTTAAGGATTTTAATTTTTAGAAATTAAAATTTTAATTGATCAAATTATAAAAGATTAGTTAAAAGAAAAAAATTATAATGATTTGATTTAAAATTGAGTGAAATTGTAAAAATATGCATATATATTTTTTTCAATAACTTTTTCTTAAAGGATAAATATAATGAAAGATTGAAATTTGAAAGGCATGGAAAAGTAAGTGCTCGCCTTGGCTTGTTGGCTTGGCTTAGCTTACATGTGTTCTATTTTATTAAGAAAGAAAGCTTTATGTAAGTTGTTGTCTGGATAAAAGAAGGAAACAAAAAGTAGAGATGTTGAAGGAACACAGACTACCAAAGAGAGTGCACCATTACGAGGAACAAATGATACGTGACTCCAACGCGCCAGCCTTGTATCATTCATGCTTAAATGGAACCAACTGAGCACGGCCATTAACGGCGCCAAAAAGAAAGGGGCGGTTTCAAATATTCATCCACTCCTCTTTTCGTTTGTTCAATGTTCTGCATTGCGTTAAGTAAATAGCAATCTATAGCAATTTATGTTCTCTCTCTTAACCTATTTACTTCCTCCACCCGACATCTTGGTTTTATATATATATATATATATATATATATTAGTTATATTTTTAATTTATTATATTCTATTCAAATAATTAACCGGATAGTTTGAATAAGTTAACCATTAGATTTATTTAACTCAAGGATATAATTGAAAAGTTATGGAAATTTTTTTAAAAAATAAATTAGTCTAAAAATTTATGGAATAATCACAAGGAAATATGAGTCACTTTCAACCTATTTTGTTTTATCTAAAAATTCAATAAATTTACTCCTCACAGTTTTATTTGTAACAGACCTAATTCTTATCACAATTTCTTTTTTACAAAAGAAAACCTTTCCCCCTTTTTCTTTTATAAATAAATTTTTTTAAAAAATATACCTGTTCAAATAAAATGACATCAACAATCATTATTGGGTTAAGGCAGATGAAGCCTAATACACAATTTGCAGTAAGTTTAGAGTACAACAACAGTTTATAGTTACAATCAATTTTGTTAAACACACATTTTTTATACCATTAATATGTACAATTCAAAATAAATGGGCTTGGCCCAATAAAAAAAATATAGTCCAAATCGACATGTTTAAAAGTTATCCAACTCAAACAAAAAGATTAAGTAATTATAGTCAAATAACTTATAATAATTATCCAAAATAAAATTTATAAAGGGTCCTTAAATCATAGCAACTATAATTTTAAAATAAATAGAGAACCGCGTGCCAAGCTGAGAGAATGGAGCCTAAGCTTACTTCTTCAATACCCTCCCTGTAAGGCTGTAACCCTACTTAATTGCTCACTTAAACATGATAAAAAGTATCATGTGAGATCAAAATCTCAATAATAATTAATTATTCTAATATATACTAAGATACTTTTTTAAACTAGTTCGCAAACATATCTATAGATACATAAATATATTTCACAATCAATATATAAAATAAGAAATGTAATGTTCACAATTATATAACAATTTCTAATTCAATATAAAATTAAAACAACAGTGATACATTTTTCAACCTCACCCTTATAGCTCTCAACTCCCTTATTACCATTAACTAGAACTTAAATTGAAGTTGTTCAAAGGTCATTGCCATTAGAATAGGATTTCCTTCTTTAAAAAAGAAGTGCCCATCATTCTAAAATATCAAAGACATTGAGAATTATAATAAAAAAGCCAACCACTACATGTATAGTGGAGGCAAACCACGATGCATAAATATTCAATCATCAATATCAAACAAACAATCATATTACTAATTGTCCTTATTATTTTTTTTACATCACATAAAACAAATGTTACATTCCACAATAAGATTATACTAGTATAAACACACACACACATTAATGAAAACCATTATCTCAATATATGAAAGGATATTTCAATATTACCTCTTTTGCAAGCTATAACTAACTCAAACATATAGAAAATTTCTTAACCATAACAACAGATTAATCTACGATATTGAATGATATAAATACCATCAATATATATATATATATATAGTAATTTATCAATTAAATATAAAATTCAACTAAACTTCTCACATTTACAACCATATCCTTTCAATCTAAATTCCTCTAATAAAATTCAAAATTTAATTAAATTAACCTATCTAAATCCCAAAAATACAATTTAATTAATATGGATGCCCTATACATTATAAATCACAATTTTTATGGTTAAAAACTTAATTTTAAACTCTCAAATAAGTCAATAAAACAACTCTAAACTAATAGAATTTAAGTACTAGTTTATCTCTACTAATTAATAGTTTTTATTATTAAAAATCAATACTTACTCTAAGTTTAAACTTTAAAATTTACTCAACTCATAAAAATTTTACTATCATCAGAAAGTTTTAAATGAATAGAAAAATATTTATAAAAGGAGTTTTGAATATAAAATCTTACCTCAAAATCTCTTACCTTCTACCTGAAAAGGCAAAATCACAATTGATATACTCCCTTTCCACTACCTTTCCTCCAAAATTGTTGTTATAATATATATATATATATATATTTTCCTTATACTACTGCACATATTTCTCATTCATCATCATCATCATCATCATCATCATCATAACTTAACATTTAAGTTAACAGGCCTTAACTTTTTTTTTTCCTCCCTAAAAACACATCTTAGCATAAAATTATATTTTAAGTTAAACTGAAAAATCTCCTAATTAATTTATTTACCTTCAAACATTCTTTTTATTTTTTTATTAATTCTAATTAACTCTAAAAATTAAATTAGAATGTTACATTATTCATGTGATGGATAGAAAATATTTTTTTTTTTATTTATAAATTACATCATTAAAATTTTATATCATATTTTTTGACTTTATCCTCAATTAAATGTTAATGAGAGAAAACGTATTATTAAAGAATGTATATTTAAATAAAGTTAATGAATTTTTTTCTGGTCCCAATAAAACATGTTAATTAAATACTCTTTACTCAATGTAAATAGTGTTGATAATTGAGAGTTTGAGACAAGAATATCAAGATGTAATTAAATATAAATACGAGGGAGAATATGATTAAATTTTTTTAAAAGAATTTAATATCTAATAAAAAATTTTAATGAATAAATATTAACAATTAGCAAGTTTACATATCCATTTATATTCTTGTTTGATATTAAATTTTTTTCAAGTCTTTTATTGATATATTCCCATCAAAATTGGGAAGATTCATTCCTCCACCGGTGTGGGCGTTAAAGCAGAACCATCTCCACGGCGTGCCGCCACGCTCATCCTGCGGAGTATGTTCGGAACATGAATAGCGTCCATGGCTCCAATCGCCTAAGTAATATTAATATTAATAATTAATAGCAATAAAAATTAATATACAGCGTGACATAGTAACTTTCATACCTTATCTGTTACATAGTATCTTTTAAAAATAATAATCTTTTTTTAAATAATAATTAAATTAATTTTTTAATTTTATCTTTTATTGATTAGCGTAAACATATTTAATATAGTTATGTCAATATTTAAAATTAAGAATAAAAATAAAAACACATATTATCTCTTTATGATATAAAAAAACTAACATTTATTAAAATATATGAAATGATTGAAAATGTTTTACAATGAGAGGAAGTATGTTCCTCATTTTTTTAGTACAAAGTTTTTCTAATTACTTACAAAAATATATGGAGGTATGGTTAAATTATTAAATTTATAAGCGATGAAGGAGATTTTCAATTTTGCTAATATTGAAGTGAAATTTTTTCATAAGAGATTGATATGGTTGTTAATATAATACACTTTATGAAATATTAATTATATTTTTTAACATTATTTTTATTTAAACTCATTAATTATGAAAAAGAGTATAATTTATATTTAAAAATTTTCATTTAAATATAGGTAGAACTGAAAGTGTATATATATATTTTTTAGACAAAATTAATGACTTAATCATCTCTTATTAATTTTGGTGAGGTGGCTAGAAATAAAGATCATATAAGTAGTTAATTAATTTAAATAGTGATAATATATTAATATTTAAAAAAAAACTGAATCAGTACTGACTTGTAATAAAAATCATTTATATCTTTTAATGTCTTACAATAAAGGTGGATAAAATACTCTCTTCCCATCCAAATACAGGAAAAAACTACCAAATTTTTTTCATCTTAAACATAAGAAAATTCTCCCATTTTAAAGTTCATTTAATAAAAATTTCCAATGCTATACGAGGATTTGCATTTAATGGTGCATTTTAATTAAACATTAATAATATGAATATTTTAGGAAAATATATTTGAAAGGGGAGAGGGCATCATGGATAATGGAATCCTAACACAGGTTGGCATCACCCAACACCCATCAACTCTCCTTCCTTTATGGTGCCGCCGACCATACCCCTTTATAACCGCCGCCCCATATTCTTTTTCAATTTCCAACCGACCTCTCCATTGTTTCTTAACTCATTCCTTGTTTTCTTCTAATGCGATGCTTGGTTCTGTTTTCACAACATGTACCCCCCACCCCCTCCTCAAGCTAACTGCGCTCATTTACTTGTTATATTCGCTCTTCACTGATTGGCCCGTTAACATTTCTCCACCAAATTCCTCTCTTTTTATCCTCTTTTTTCACCAACTAAAGGGTTATTTTCGGCATTGCATGAGGCTTCCATTCGTACATTTATCAGTAGACGACTTTTTGGCGTTCGTCGGTTTGTATCACTTATTTGACAAAAGTCGTTCTCTGCCAATAGGAAAATGCGATTGCCGCGTTCGTCCCGTTGGAAAGCTCCTGCCTTTCTCGGCTGGGCCTTTGATTTACTTTGTGTAGATCACTCACCTCCCACACCCTGCTCATCACTTCCTGTTCTTTCAATCGTTCTTGGGTGACTCTTTTTGATTGAGCTCTCTCATTCCCAGCATTAATTCACTTGGCCATAATTTTTTCACCTGACAAGGTATCACGTCTTTTTCTGATCTTACATAATTGAGCTGTGTTTTCCTTTTCTAATATCTTGATTGCCGATTGCTTTGGCATCCAGTAACATATTCTTTTTAAAGAACAAAATTCTATCTAATGGATTAGCTGATCCTGTGTCATAATACTTGCGAGTTTCGATTCTTGAATACGTTTCTTCTGCTTAAACTATCTGCTGCTGATTATATTGGTATTTTTCTATCTCTTTACCTTTGAGCACTTCAAGATTTCCTGGATATTTATTTTGCATCTGGAACGCTATTGATTCATTGCTAATTTAGCATCCGGTTAAAGTCATCCGAATACAAAAAATTTGACTTTGGGGGTATTTAGATTACGATGCTTGATCTTGTTCTAGTACTTTCCCTGCGACACACCCGTTATTATTTTTGTACAACTTCTGATTCTTGGGCAAAACAGCTATCAGTCATCTAATTCTGTTCCCTTTTCCCAGCACTTTTCCTTTTGCCTTGAACGATACCATATCGAGAACATTGGAGTTCGGCCCATTGCAAGCATTCGGTTTCTCCATTTGGAGTCACTTGAATTGACTCAACAATGGCTACCGCGGGAATCTCATCTGCTAATTCACGCAACCTTTCCGCGGGCGTCACTGCAGCCTTGGCTTCAGCCTTGCTTGAATGGTTGCTGATCTCTTTCCTGTTCGTTGATGCTGTCTTTTCCTTCATCATTACGAAATTCGCATGCCACTGCCAATTGCAAATGCCATGCCTGCTGTGCTCGAGGCTTGATCATGTGTTAGGCAAGGAGAGAAAAGGATACTATTGGAACTTGATTTGCAGAGATCATAAGTTGGAGATTTCTACCTTAATTCTTTGTCGTGCACATGACAAGCTAGTTAATGTTCATGGGATGTGTGAAGATTGTCTTTTCTCCTTCGCTACTGTCAATAAATCCAATTCCGAAACTTGCCGGTTACTGCTCGGTAAATTGGGGGAGGGATCTAAGATCCCGTATGACCAGGACCCGTTATTGGATGACCATAAGGTTTCTCTCTCAACCACAAAACAATGTTCTTGTTGTGACGAGCCAAGGGTCTTTCGGGGTAATGATCCAAGGTTGGTATTGACCAAGTCAGTCAGGTCTGAGGCTACAGAATTTGATATTCCATCATCATCAGGTGATATTGGAACCAATTTTCATGAGAAGTGGACGTCAGAACCGCCTGTATCAGTGAGAGCAACTCACCTAAGAATAATTAGTCAGATTGATCCTTTGTCTCATGTCGGGTACACAGAACTGAAGCTCACCTCTGATGGTGAGTCTGAAGTTGCTTTATCTGATGATGATGATGATGTCATAAGCACTCCAATTCGCGAAACACGTGATACGAAGGAAGATATAAATGCTCAATGTGTACGGAGGAAGCCTTGTGTCATTGACTTAGATGAGGATTTGGCCTCAGAAAAACCTATATGCTCAGCTTCTCCGTGTAAACCATCAATAGAATCAGAGCCAGGGATGCATTCAGAATACAAAGATACTCATGGAAGTAAATCTGCAGCAGCAACCACAGTGGAAGCTTCAAAAGAAACCTGTAAGTTATATTTTAGTACCTCTCTTTGTCTACCTTGCAATTCTGCAGAAATAAAAAATATAATGTCATTATCTTAGTATTAGTTGATGAGAAGTTGAAGTTGCTTTGATGAGAAAAGAAGAACCACGTTTTCAATGTTCATAAGTCCATGGTTTCACCTACATGAACGTCACCCTCGTATAAATTTTTGTTTTGACAAAAGGGGAATAATCGACAATAGAGCAATAATAAAAACAAAGAACTTTTTAAGTTTTTAAAACTTGTAGTCAAAGACCTTGTTAGAATTCGTTTTTTCCCCGAGTTCCAATCAGGTCTTTCATGATTTATAATCAGGTCATCCTAAAGTTATTATTTTTCCTTTTAAACTTAAGGCCATTGAATGTAATTTTTCAAAAGAAAACCTTCACTTAAATTGATGGAACTACCCTTTGAATAGGTGACGATTTGACAACTTGCACGGTGGGACTGACATCTGAGCAACGGTCTACCATAGGGGACGAGGAAATCATTAAACCAGACATTAAGCGAGCAACATCTGAAGCAGGTTTTGTGTTATGGGAAAATGGTCAACAATTTCCTAATTTACTGGATCTTGGAGACGCTTATAAACTAGCTGTAAGTAATAGAGGAAGGCAGTTATCTGGTATGCTTGCTGAGCAATGGCTTGGGAAGGATTCTTCAAGAATCAGTGAGGATTTGAAGATATTGTTGTCACAACTATCTGCTGCTCGGGGCACTGACCTATCAGTAAATGATTTGAGTCCTAGATTTTCTGTAAATAGTGATGAAGCTAAGACTTCTGATGCTTCAAACTCTGCTGGAATACAGATACTTCAAAAGAGGGTCTCACTAGAGAGAAATGAGTCTGGTCTCTCCCTGGATGGAAGCATTGTCAGTGAAATTGAAGGTGAAAGTGTCGTTGACAGATTAAAAAGGCAAGTAGATCATGGCAAGAAACTTGTGAGTGCTCTGTATAAAGAGCTGGAGGAAGAAAGAAATGCTTCTGCAGTTGCTGCAAATCAAGCATTAGCCATGATAACAAGGCTGCAGGAAGAAAAAGCGACACTGCATATGGAAGCTTTGCAATGCCTAAGGATGATGGAGGAGCAGTCAGAGTACGAGACAGAAGCCTTGCAAAAAGCCAACAACCTTCTTGCTGAGAAGGAGAGAGAGCTGGAGGACCTGGAAGCAGAGCTTGAGTATTTTAGGAGGAAATATCCTGATGAGTCAATATTAGAGAAGTTGACTCAATCAAGCTCTGATATGAATGTGAAAGATATTGGTTTGGATCATCCAGATTCTTCTCGTGCGGGAAACAATGAAAGCATTCATAATATCTCAGACAAGCTGAAGGGTTAAACATAGCTCTGGAGGAAAAGAATATGGAACCTGCGAAAAATCCACATGCGAAAAATCCACAATTGGAGTTTGATAATGAAAGATTATATATTTTGCAGGAGTTAAAGAAGTTGGAGAAGCAAGTGTATGGCTTCATAAATGACTGCCAACCAACAGACAATAGCATAAATTCTGAATCTCAAGAAAATTGTGGAAAGATTGTCAATAATCAACCAATGCAAGATTCTGTTTCTTCGTCTGAAATACCTCCAGTGTGCGAGGAGAATGGTGAGCTTGAGTATGATGTGATTGGCAGGTTGCGAGTTCTTGAGGCAGACCTGCGTTTGCTTGAGCATACTATCAACATAATGAGAAACAGAGAGGAAGGACTCGAGTTATTGCGAGAAATAGCATATCACCTGCAACAATTGCGTGAGATTGGGATTAGAGAAATAGACCGTCCTGATAGTCCAGGCTTTATTTTATCAGGAAAGTTAGTACAAACTGCCAATATTTAAGCATAATAGCTCTAGTACGGATGTTCCTGATGTTTCACACTTGGGTAAGTTGGGCGATAGCTTGTTTATATTTTTGCAGATGGAAGCAGGAAAGTCAATGCTAGTGCTCTGGGACTAGGAGGGAGGTATATTGTACTATAGTGAACCAGGATTCCGAGACTCATCCCAACTGTACAGTAAAGATAGTTTGTTTCCGCTCAAGACAGTAGTAAATAGGGTCTTGAATTGTATGCAGCGTTTCTTTTTCCTCCGCCTTACATTCAGTACCCTGCCTTTTTGTTGGGGTTCGTTTCATTTTGCATAGAGTAGGCGAGTTTTTCCTTTAGCCCATTTCATTTGCATCGCATTTGAGTTATTGTTCAATGACCAGATCTTGGACTGTAAGAATGTATTTGGTGTCTTGTTGCATCTGTGCTTTTGCCTGTTCAGAAAACTGCGAGTGGACCAACGTTAGTTTTTGTACTTTAATTCTCTTCAATTGTATGCAAGATGTCTCGGTTCTATGGATGTTTCCGTTTAGAGAAGTTTCAGGGCGTTGGCTTCAAGCGTGTGGGGATATGAAATATCGAAATAGAAATAATCATCTTCAATCTTGTTCTGGTTCTGACTTCACGTCGAGTTCGTCATCCCGAAGGATTTAGTGCCTGAAAAAAATGACAGAAATGGGATTTTACTGCACTCATGTGAGTATGTGATCAGCGATACTGTGTGGACGAACCAGACTGATTAAACACAGTATTTTTAAAATTTTAAGGTTAAAAAATGGAATGGAGTGAAATCAAAATAGTCTCAAATCATATTTGAGTCGTGTATTGAGCTCAAAATATTCCTTTTGCTAGATTTAATTTTCATTAGTTAAATTTAGATGTTATTTGCTATTAATTCCACTAATAACAAGCTCATGCTTATGAATGACATGTGTCCTGTTTTTTTAAATACTGCCATTTCATGAAGTTATAAAGGATCAGTTTAAGAAATTAATTTTAATTTATACTCTTATTTTATTGGATATTTATTTTTTAATCCTCACTCTCATTATCTCTATTATTATAATTGTAACTTCCATTATCTTAACTCCCTTATTAATTTCCTCATTTGTTTATCAACTTTTCTCCTTCTTTATTTTTGTAATCCTAACTTCCATTTCACCTTATCTCATTATAAAATTTAAAATTCTTGGATACAAAAATTCCATATCAACTCATCTTTATTCTTAAAATACAGAAAAAGAAACCACAGATAAAAAAAAATAAACTTTATTTAATTATGAAATTTTTGTCTCGTGAATAATTTTTGCGTCTCATGATCTCTATTCTCTAATATTATTACTCCTTTATTTTTGGATTTCAAAATTTGTGATGCATATTATTTTAAAATTATTTACATTTAAATAATTTATTTAATTAGTATAATAGACTTTATCATTTTAATAACTACCCTTTAATACCTATTAATTTAAATATTTTAAATTCTAAATTTATAAAATGTAGATTTAAATGAAAAATTTTTGAATCATGAATAATTTCTGTATCCCATGATCTCTATTATCAAATATCATATCGTATTTTCTTTAATTTTACAATTAGATGTATCATATTTTACAATTAGATGTGTTTAAATTAATTTATTTAATAATTTCATATTCTAATAACTACCCTTGATTTAACTTCCCATAGTGTTTAGGTCCATGTTTTTGCATATTGCTTCCCATGTTAGCCTCCATATGTTATCTTAACTTCCCCATAATCTTTTAACTTGCAAGTTGTGCCTCCCTCAACTATCATGATGATTTTCCCTCCCAACAAGAGCCTCCTCATTGCTCTACTCCATGCTTTCCCGGTCACATTTAGTTGATTGCTTGAATACGAGGAGATTATGCACCAACTCTTGGCTCCTTCACAATGCAATCTTAGGTGACCCAACCAAAAAGTAAACTAATATATGAAATTTGCTATCTTATTGCGAGCACATTGTTAGATATATAAGTCATACATTATTAACTTGTCAAGGGCATATTAAAATTTCTTGATGAAGTTGCGGACATGTGCAACAATCTCCAGTGGCATTTCTATATTATATAGTGTTATTTTAAAATTCTTATTTTATTTATTCTACTTGTAGATTTTTTTCTTTTTCAGTGCATTGATAAAGAGTACTAAGAATTTATTTTCTTTCATATCTATGTATTGCAGGAAGATGTGCCTCTAATGGTAGAAAGAGACCTTGACACCTATAGATTCCTTTTTTTTTTTTTTGGCATCAATGATGCAATTCTTTTACGAACTGACAATCATTATGTTAAAAAAACATATAAATTCTTTTTTAACATATATTTATCTTACATTTCACGTATTCTTTTTCTCCTATTTATTTGTTGATTATCTCTTGAGTTTTTTTTATCACTTTCTGTCTATATGATATATGCACTATTTTATTTTAATTTGTAACTATTATCACATTTGGTGGGCATAAAAAATTGCTTGCAAATCTTATCTACAGGATTTGGTATCATAATTTAACTTGCTTTTAAATTATTGGGGCTGTCACTCTTTTCTTTCTTTTCCTTTTTTTTTAAGATTTTCTTTTTAATTAAGTTTTGTTGCATTGACACTTTTAGTTGAAGACAATTCTTAATTATTAGTTAGTATTGAATTTTTCACATTTTATGATTAAGATAAATGACTGTATTATCTGCCAAAACAAAATGTTAAATTTTTTCAGATTTATATAAACCTTTATACATGGGTGGTAATGATTGATAAAATATTTTTGTTATATTTTAGTTTTATTCTATGCCCTTTAGTAAATTATATTTGTGTTCTTTAATTTAATTATATAGAAATTACATCTTCAATTTTTTTAATCTTAATTTCCCTTTTCCCTTATTCCTCACCCATTATCCCTACCACTCTCTTATCATCTTAACTCCCAATCATCTTATTCTTATTTTTAAAAGTTAAAAATTGACTTGGACAATGGATATTTGATAGTTGCATGATTATAGGAAGAAGGGGTTAAGTTACAAAAAGTTCACTTTCTATGACACTATGATTTAGGGTTGAGGCCTTTAATTAATTTTTTAAAAAATATTAAATTATATTTTATTATTCCACACGTTAGTGATAATAAATTGTTTATGACTTATGCTAAAATATACACGGGATACTTACTAGTATAATATAACTTACGAATATACCGATAATTCAGCAGAAAGCTTACGAATGATACGTGTATGTACCTTTTCAGGAATTACATAAAATTAAAATTTATCACTTAGTGAGTTAGTGTATGTACTTATGTTTTGAAAAATGTTCTATTTTTTAACATTAAAGAAAGGCTTTGCAGTTTTAGAGGTTTGGCTTCCCTGTCATGTTCAAATTTATAAAATGTCCAAATGTAATGTATTGGGGAGGGGGAAATTACTGTAAAAAATAAAAATATAGAAAATAGACTTTTAATGTTATAACTATACTTGAGCACAAAATGGATTTGGCAGGCCCACTATGGCCTCTACCGTAGACCCGTTCAAGCCTAAATGAAAGAAGGAACGCAGACGACTCTTTCAAACCGAGACTCCAAATAAAATACATGTTACCTCGTTTCCAGTCCAAAAGGGAAATTGCCGAGTCTTTGATTTAGACTATGCTCTACTCTTGCTTTAAACTCCGAAACGCGGCTTTTGATCTACTCGGACGTTCAACAACCCTCACCTTACCCGTTCATACGCATACACCATGGTACGAACATCCATCTATAAATTCCTCAACCCTATTCTCTCTCCCTTCATTATCATTCCCCCATTTACAGATATTATAGTTCTTTCTTCTCCTGGCACACTTCACAGATACCAATTCTTCTCAAAAACCTCGGCCAAATGGGTTGCTGCACAAAGATATTTGCAGTGCTGGCAACAATCATGATATTGAGCCTGCAGCAAATAATGGCGGCAAGGCCGTTGGAAGGGGAGCTATGGTTACAGAAGAACCTAGTGATTCAATCACTTCGGCGAGGCCCCGTGGAAGGTCCTCACAGAAACCCTTGCTCCACCATCCCCGGCCGTAGTCGCGGGAGGTGCGCTTTTCAGATCAATGTCGACGCCGGCCACGTTGCTTATGCTCAACCTCCGCCCGCATTTCCAGATCAACCTGTCAACTTCGGTGCAGCTTCCATGCTTTATAACGACACCCTCCACCAGAACTCACCGCCTTCCTCGGATTAAGCCTCTCACATACATACTTATCTATTCAAACTGTACATAGATATATATACATCTTTTCACTTTTCAGGCCGTGTTAGCGTTTTTCCCCCTCCATTCTCGGGGTTGCTTGAAGGATTCATTTCCCTGTTCATCCACAACGAAATAAGTTCATTCTTTTATTCATTTAAGGATTTGACTCTTTGGATTCTCTCTGTTTGATCGAGTTTCTTTTCTGGTTGAGGGCTGTATGAGATGTTATTGTATTTCATTCTTTAATCTACCTTGATTGACATTGATGATATTGATGGAAACAAAACATGGATGATATTAAGATTTCGAGTTCTTATAAATTCTACACTTGATCTTAGCCAAAAGGCCGAGAAATAATTACTGCAGTAATGTAATGATACTTTTTTCCTGTGAGAAATAATTATACTTTTTATTCGATCACACAAATGTTTAAATAAACTAAATTAAACGCTTCTTCTTTTTAAATCACGGGAGAAGCTAGATATTGAAAGAACTGTGAATGCCTGGGAAAAAGTCAAAGTCAAACTCGTATACATCTTAATTATACGTCCGTATCCAAGAAAAGTAGTGTCACTTTATACACTTTAAAATAAATAATATTAGATTAGTTTTAAAAAATATTGGGGGAGACAAATATTAAAACTCTTCCATTGTTGGGAGTCAAAATTTGCGGGCAATACAATTGATACTTGTAAACGAAGTAAACAATTGACGTCGGATTTAACAAATCAAGTTTAAGATGGAGAGAGGCGATCGATGACTTTTACACTGCGAACGTCAAATTTGCACGCGTTGAATGTCATGTACTAGTTTCGGAACTCTCGGCCATGCGATAATTGTCTGTGATTTGTGGAGAGAGACCGATTCAATATGTCAAACTACTGTTCTCGTCAATTATATTTTTTTAAAAAATTAAAGTCAAACCATCGTAAAAAGCTAAACCAGCAAGCTCCAACTGCTTCAACTTTATATGATACCTTTTTATTTCGTTTTTGCCCTCAGGGTCAAGAACACTTCATTTGAATTCTGAACAACAACTCTCTTATGATCCCGAACCAAATTAACGCCTTCTCAACATATGTTTCTTTTTTGGTCTGATTAGTCGACGGGTGCCTTTTTTGGATCACCGTCGATATATAATTTTGACAAATGACACCGCGATAAGCGTTTCTTTAAAAAACAAAACAAAATATCATTTTTAATTACCGGAAGAAAAACGCGTGCGTGCGTGGGTATCAACACAGATCCGATATATTTATTATATAGACGCGAATGAGAAATGGAGACTTCAGAATATTTAAAAAAAAAGTGGGATCCATGGGATGCCCTGTGTAGTGTAATCGTCATTAGATTCATATATAAGGTCTTGGCATTGAACGTAAAAAGGAAAACCCAATCCGCTTAACATTCTGTTCGTGACAGATCAGATTCGACTTACCAGCAAGAAGTGATTTTGCTTCTCCTTCTTCTTCCTCTTCCTCCTCAAAACTTTTTCGGGTGAGATGTTTTAACCAGTTCGATGCGAAAGAAGGAGAAAACATTTGTATGAAGATTAAGGAGCCCGTAAGCCATGTACTGTGGAAGAAATGAGTGTGGAAGTTATGCACCAGAGGAAAAGGAAGTGTTGTGGAGCCCGGTTTCGGCGCTCATCGGATATTGTTGAGATTCACAATTTTTATTTTATTATTTAATTATTAAAATAAAAATTATAAAAAATTAATAAATATATTTTATCGCTAATATGTATGATATATATTTAATCTTGATGGCTTAATTCACTATTAAAAGCCTTTAGAATTTTATCAATTAATTATCCATAATTACTCTAAAGTTTGAATAGTTCGATTTTAAAATCTTTGACTTGCAACTTTTTTTAATTTTTTAAGTATTAGTTTAAAAATTATCTTTATTTTTAATATTACATTTACTAAAATAAAAAATTCTAATTTTTTAAAATTAATGCTAAATCTAAACTATTCAACATACATATAAATGATCAATTCATAGCAAATTTAAATCTGAACATCCATGTTATTCGTTATATAACGAGTACCTAAACCAATTCCAAATGCCGAGCTAAGTGCACGGAGAAGGATGGAGGGGACATGGAAGAAAAGCCCCTTGTATTGTCCCGTCTCTTTTATTTTAGGTTCAAATATATATATATATTTTCTTTCAAAGAGTGTCGGATACTTTATATTAATAAGTATGAGATTTTCCCTTCTAAATCATTTTTTGGGAGAGCCAAAATCACCTTTCATTAAAGGATTTTTAAAGGAGGAGAATTTTGCTCAACTAAAAAATAATTTAGAAGAAAAAAATCTTATTTATTAATACAAGGTGCCCTACGCTTTTAAAAGGTAAGCAAAAGAGCAAAAATACACTCTAACATAAAAATAAATATTAGTAACTATTTTAATTTAAGCAATAACCAAAATGAAATAAGCAATTATAATTTTTCCTGTGCAAAATTCTAGTCATTTATAGAAAAAATATAGTTATTATTTAAATTAAAGTAATTATGAATATTTACAACATTTGAATTTTAATAAATAAAAAATTTGTATAAAAAAAGTTGTAATTAGTTGTTTTATTATTATCACTGCCAAAAGAAAAACAGTTACTATTGCTAAAATTAAAATAGTCAGTAGGATTTATTTTTATTTTAAATTGAGAGTATTTTAATTATTTTATAAAAAATAATTAATGCTTGAAAGGTCCACAGGGACTTGCATATTTTAGTTATTTTCACATTTTATGAAATTTTATTATCATTTGCATATTTTAAAAGGTTAAAATATTTTTTTTCCTATAATCTCCTTCAAGTAGTGTTAGATACTTTATATTTGTAAGCGAGAAATTCTTTTTCCAAAACTACTTTGTAGAGGAGCAAAAATTCCATCCATTAAAGGATCAATGATAGGGATTTCTGCTCATTTCAAAATAATTTATGAAAAAAAATGCCCCACTTACTAGTAAAGAATGCTTAACATTTCAAAAAAAAAATTACAAGAACAAAAATATACTTTTATCATTTTTTATTTATTGATTAGCCGATATCAATGTTTTCAGACCTGAATTGGTTAGGGGTGGTCATATGGAGAAAAAAGTAATTTGATTCAATCATTTAGCTTGTTTTAGCAATTGCCTTTAATTGACCTACTTTGACTTGAGCATTCTTTAACGACACGTGAAAGTTCAATTTAAACTGTTTTAACTTGTTTTTTATTTTAATACTATTTTTATTTAATTATTATTTTTTAATTTTATTTATAAATTACATTTTAAAAAATCTGTTTGGTACCATTTATTAGTAACGGCACAGCTTTTCATATAATAATTAAAAGGTATGTTTAAAATTACATTTTATGAGAGAAAAAAAATAATACGACATAATTTTTAAATTATTATATAAAAATATATTTAAAATTTTACATATTTTTATTTTTTATATTTTTTTATAAAAAACACCGAAGGAGTATGTTATTTTGATTATCTATTCAGACGGATTTGAATTATGAGAATTGCAACAGGCTAACTTTCTGGTTTATTCGCTCATCCAGTCTTTAAAACATTGGCGAATCGACAATGCGCATGCCTCACGTCTCATCACCCTGACAGGCCGACAACAGACGAAAACGTGAATCAAACCCTAACCCTGTCCTAGAAGATGCTAACCATAATTGGTCTCACATATGTCAGGATTCACTGTGATATATTAATCGTTTTTCTTCTATAATTAATTGATCGTGCCGAGCCGTCACAGCATTGCTCCTGAAAGCCACCCAACATTCACAAAATCCAGATCATATCATGTACCTCTAAGTTCGACATCACAAAGACATGCTCTCCCAAGCCGCGAAGGGTAATTGATTAAACTGGGACGAGTTTGGAAAAGAACACCTTTGTCTATGTTATAATGCGTGTGGACACCTCATGGAATGTCGGATAACTGAGTGCGTTGTCGCGAGAAACAAATTGATATATTCAAATGTAATTAACAAATCTTTAAAGAAGAGCTGTCGTATAAAAGCATTCATTCATTCCATTAATACAAAATCAAATGTGAAGTATGCATGTCGCCTGGACGTCTAGGCAGATGAAACTTTCAGAAATTCTAACACCGACCGCTGAATTATTATAACGTACATGTTCTATCAAAATAAGACAAAGTGGTCTATACATTAAAATTACTTGTCCATGCATCGTTACGTTGTTTCTCTTAACAAGCTAAGAGACCACTCCAAGTACACGCTATTCACATGGCAGATATAACTGATATTTTGATTTGAACTAGATTTGTTGGACTGACCAAGTAATTATTTATACAGTTTTAAAGATATTTTTGTCAAGAACGATAATTTAATGAACGGATCGGCGCTGAAGTGTCAGTTCTCTAAGAGATTGCAAGTTGTTTTATGCCACGTAGCGATTGTAGCGGAAGTATGCTATACAGCAATTTGGCACCAAAAAATAAAGAAAAAAAGAAAAAATTAAAGAAAGAAAGAAAGAAAGAGGGATGGTGATGTGGTGTGGCTGCAGGAATTGAGCTACGCACGGACTTCCTTCGTCTCAATAAAAGATACTCTCTATATTTAAAAATATAAAATATTTTTAGTTAAATCTCACCTCTTAATAAAATAATTACTTACTCTTTAATTAATCATATTTTTTTATATTTATTTTTATTAAACATCTTACAATAAATATAAATTCATTATTAATAAAGATACTTTTGAAAAAAAGACAATAATTACACTTTAAAATATTAAAAATGTCTTATATTTTTTAAAATTTAACTTTTTAAAAAATACCTTACATTTTTAAATGAAGAGAGTAGTGATTTAATTAAAAGTATAACATTATTTTAATTTTAACTCTGATTATTATAAATAAAAAATAAATTTTTTAAAAATAAATAAATGAGAGTACCTATTTTTTTCTCTTTTCAATTTAATAAGAGTATAATAATTTATTTATTAAAACATATGCTAACAATCTTTTATATTTAATGACAAAAAACATTATAAAAATTTTTTTATATATAGGGCCGAAAGGAGTACCTCTTTAATTTTATTTATAAATTATTTTTCATATATTTTATTAAAATTAAAAAATTTTAAAATTTATTAACCCTTTTCTTAAAATTTAATAAATTCTTAATTTTTTTCCTATTAAATACTCTCTTTATTAAAAAATATAAGGTATTTTTAATTGAATCTTACCCCCTAATAAAGGAGTTACTTATCTTTAAATTAACTTTATTTTTTCATATTTATCCTTATTTAATAAGGTATTTCACCCTTAAAAAAATTCCCTCTATTTATATTTGTAGGAAAAAAAATGCATCACACACGTTAAGAAGATTGATTAACTATATTAATTATGTCTACAAATAAAAAAAAAATAAACTACAATACCCTTTATTAATTGTGTTATTCAAGCCGTCTTAATTGTTTCTTATGACTATTAATGATAAAATCATGAGAGGTAATTTAAAAAATTTGTAAAAAATGCCTATTAAAAAATATAATTTTTCTTATATAAAAAAATAAATTAAAATTGATTTTTAAAAAAAATGGGAATGAATCTTTCAAAAATAAGGTAATAATTATATTTTAAAAAATTAAAAATATTTTATATTTTTTAACATTTAAATTTTTAAAAAATACCTTTTATTTTTAAATAAACAGAATATATATATTAATAACATATTTGTTCTCTTCAACACTTTTGGGTAAAACAAAAAAATTATATTAAAAATTTAATAAGGTACTCCTCCTATTCTTTTTATAAATCATTTCCACCAATCTCATCAATACCAATATAAAAAAATATAAAAAATAAAAATGTGTAAAATTTGAAATATGACTCTATATAATAAATTTAAAAAATAATATCATATTACTTTTTTTTCATAAAAAGTAATTTTGACAATATTTTTCAAACATTATTTAAAAAACTATACCCCTTTTATTAAAAAATATAATATATTTTTAACGAAATCTCACTCCTTAGTAAAATAATTACTTACTTTTCAACTAACCTTATCTTTCTATACTTATCTTTATTAAATACCCTATAAGTAATATAAAATTATTATTAATAGAGATACTTTAAAAAAATAATAATTATATCTTAAAAAATTTAAAATATTTTATATTTTTAAATATTTAATATTTTAAAAAATATTTTATATTTTTAAATTGGAGAAAGTATCATAATTTACAAATGAAATTAAACGGAGCTATTTAAGGTGTGCATTGTAAATGGGACAGGAGGGAGCACGTCTTATAAAATTAGAAAGAATTTTTTTTCTAGGTTTGTACAACATAAACTGACATAATAGTTGCTCTGATTTGACTCCACGTCAGCTTTTACTGCGGTTTCATGTCTTACAGGTGACCCCATGCGTGGTTTTGTGGAGGGTAAGTTTGATACCTGGTCATGCTCGGCCTTCCACTACTTAGAGAGTAGAGACTCATACTGTATTTTCACAGAGTTCTCCTCTGTTCCATCTATCAATCAGGTAACATGTGACGTGCCATCCTCGCGCAAGAGTGAAGAGACACGAGAGGAAGCCTACGCAAGCATCTACTCCGCTTCTATATATTAATCACTCTTTAAAAATATAATTTAGCTCATTTTATGAGTCATTAATTAATGTAATTGCTTTATTTTAAATTAAATTTTTTAAATTATCTTTAAAAAATAAGAAATAAAAAAATAAAAAATAATATTATATTATATTATATATTTTTTATTTAAAAATTATATTTAAAATTTTACTTACTTTTATTTTTTATATTTTTATTATATTAATATTGATAAAATTAATAAAAATAATTTATAAATAAAATTAAAGGAGCATTATGTATGAAATAAGATTAAAGGAGCATGATGTATGAATAGAACTAGGCAGAGCATAGGCCTTGTTAATTTCATTTTGGCATCGCTTTTTTATTCTGTAATCAATCAATCAGTATGCTCATCAAAATTATTGACCACATTACAGTCCGTCAACAAAAATTCTCGAGCCTTGGATGATATTTCTTGCCGTGAGGAAAGGATCAGATTGTTGCAGATTAAAGCTAGCAGAGCTATAGGGTATATGAAGACTGTTGTATCCTCCCTCCGATCTCATTAAACACCTTTTAAAAGGCACATTTAATATCATTTACCCTCTTTATTTAAAAATATAAAATATTTTTTAAAAAATTAAAGATTAAAAAATATAAAATATTTTTAATTTTTGAATGATTTGGATTCTATGCCTGGAACAAATCCACACACCCAATGCATGGCAACACGTGGAAAATTTATAAGTGTGTGATTAAGTTAACGGTCGGAGGCATATGCACATGAGAGGGAGTAGGCGCTCTGTTTTTCACTCATTGTCATTTATGATGAGCTTGGAAGATCTGATTCGACAACAAATCAACATTTGGATCTCACTTCCTATTTTTTAAATTTTTGAGAGATTCCACGAGAATGAGAAAGCTGATTTTGATTCCGGATCTATTAATGAGCATGCTTTTAAATTTTTTAATTTTAAATTGCAACCTACATAGCCTCTACTTATATAAACTTTACAGAATATGGTGCATTTTAAAAATTATATTATAATTCACAATACTTAATTTCTCATTATCTTTACCACAATCTAAGAAATAAGGCTCATTATTGAACAACCTAAAAATAATTTCAAAATTTCTGAGAGATAAAAATTACAAGGGAGTGGAAAGAGTTCCCTAATAATAACACTTTAGAATTGAAGCATGGATCCAAAACTGAAACCATGCTATTAACTGCTTCACTTTAGATTAATCGCTTCATCTTCATCATCCTGATTAAGGGTGATTCCATAAAGAAGAAAATAAGTACCAATACGTGAAAATATCCACCAATGACCTCTCATGTGCGTTTACTTGTAACCGTTAATTCGATTTTATGCTTAAAAATTTGCCGCATGTTGCCATGCATTGGGTGCGTGGATGTGCTCTAGGCATGGAATCTAAGTCTTCTTTTAGATGTAATTATTATTATTTTTTAAAATTATTTTTAATGATAACTTTATATTTATTATAGGGTGTTAATAGGAGTAAATATAAAAATATAGGGTTAGTTAAAAAGTAAGTAATTATTTTATTGAATGAGATTTGATTAAAATTTTTTATATTTTTAAACGGATGAGTTTCAGTTATGATATAATTTTTTAAATAATATTTAAAAAATATTTTTAAAATTATCCTATGAAAAAAATAATAATATAATATTACTTTTTGAATTTTTTATACAAAAACGTATCTAGAATTTTATACACTTTTATTCATTATATTTTTTTATATTGATATTGCTGAAGTTAATAAAAATAATTTATAAAAAAGATTGGAGAGGTAAATAAAAAGTTACAGATTCAAGGCCATCTCAAGCGGTTAACTAATTATTGCAATAATAATTTTCTTTTATCAAATTTTATGCATAATCAGAAGATACACGTACCTATGCATGCCTGCAAATATGTTAATAACGAGTTTGAACGTAAAAGTATTTTTAAACGAAAAGGATGAGTAACTAACAATTGATAATTAAAACAATTCGAAATAGTTTATAAGTTATATTTGCAAGGAGGCAGTCCCATCCATATTCCGGCGACCTTACTGGATATTTACCTTTTTAAAACTGAACTCCAATTGAAACCTAAAATGATGTGGACACGTGCACACAACTTCCCAAGATGCGGTGTGCTTTGGTCTGTATCAACAATCAACAAGTACCTAATAATATTTGTACCAAAAAGAACTAGAAGCCAATATTTAAAGAACATATATTTTAATAAAAAAATACAACGCTACATAAGCATATTCTTAAAAATATTTGCAGTAATTATACTCTCACATAAATACTTTTTAGTTATTGAAGAATAAATATAAAAAAAATAATATTTAGGGTGTGTTTGAATTTTAATTGAAAAAAATTGATTATTAGAATGTGATGGTGTTTGGATAAAATTTCAAGAATTGATTATGATATTAAGTTTTTAAAATGAAACAAATTTCAGCTTATTTTAAATGGAGTTTTAAAAATCAAATGAGTTTAAAAAATTGAATGTTTGAATAAAATTTTTTAAAATTATATTTTAAATTTTAAATTAATTTTAAAAAATATTCCAACAGGTCCTTACTTATTGAAGGTACATCGTTTTGAAAAATAACGCAGCTGACTTCTAGGAATAACATCCACGCTACATATGGTGGAGAAGCAGCAACGTCGAAATTTTGAACAATATACTCGCACACACGCGCACACTTTTTTCATTCCCCCGCCGGAAAACCATCATGGTGGTAAGCTTGGAAAAAATAGAGGAGTACAAGAAAGAAGAAACACGGTGAAAGGATAAGCACGGCTGTGGGGCACTTGTGCAGGGGAGCGAGCAATGGGGCTGGGGAACGCGTGATGGGTGCGCGCGTTGCAGCGAACACAAGCCTCGGAATCTCTGACACCGGTCCAGCGTCAGCTTAATCAGCTCCTCATACCAAAGCGGCCCGACACCACTAACACCTCCCGCCCTGTTGTCATGTTCACGCCACCGTAACATTCAAAAAAACCCCCCTCATACGTACAACCCAAATAATGTCATTTTCCCCCATTATTCTGCCAAACAACTTTATGTCGTTTTTTTAAGAATATTTAAATTCATGATTTTATCTTTAAATAAAAATATTTGGAATCAGATTACGTTGCTGCGGAGAAGAAATTGTGCTATGATTTATAACATTTTAAAGCGACGATTTACATATAAAAGGTGAGCAATATAAGTTATATGTTACATTGAGAAAAGGCCTTGAGATTTTGATTCTCCCAGCCTGCTCTGTCTCACATCTATCACGTGACCTACTTTTTAGATGGAGAGGAGCACGCAGTGGAAACATGACTATTCCGGAACGGCCAAAACAAATAAACACGAAAATGAAAAAAAAAAAAAAAACTGCTCTCTCTCTCTCTCTCTCTCTCTCTAATTTGTAGTATCTTCCTCTGAGCGGCAGTAACATTGTGAGGGGAGGGAAATGTGGGAACAGAGAAAAGCAGAAGCTTTTGTTTCTCTTTGCAGTCGCAACTCTTGAGAGGTGTGTTTCCTGCTCTGCTCTAGTTCGGAGAGTTAATCAGATAGAGAGCGGGGCTTATACTTGTATAAATATAATTTGTGTGAGAAATGCAGCAGCACCTGATGCAGATGCAACCCATGATGGCGTCCTACTACCCCAACAACGTCACCACTGATCACATTCAACAGGTTTTCTCTTCATCTCCTTCTGCAGCTCCATGCCTTTCTTTCTCCGCACCCTCTATCATACCATAATTTTCGCTTCTTTTATTCTTTTATTCGTCTTGGTTTGGATGTTACTTGTATTGAAACCGACCGGCATCCTTTTGTCTTTACCACCATTACTTGTGGGTCTTCCCTGCGCCACAACCCGCACCTAGTACCGTTTCAAGGCTTTCGCGTTTCTGGACTCTCTTCTCTTCCCTGATTCCCTTTATTCTGCTCCTTCTTTGTCACTTTCTGCTACTAGTTACGTAATTGTTGGTGGTGTAGATGTAGAGTCTATGGTGTTTGCGTCTAATCTGCTACCCTGGAGTGGCTGTTCTTTGCTTCTTCTTTTTTCTCCTCTTGGCAGTGCGTGGATGATCTGACTCTGCTAGACCGCAGGAATGATAGTTCTTGCCTTTATAACATCAACTTTTGGTTTGCCCTCTTGAATGACCTTTTCACTGCCCAAGTTTCATGCTTCAATTGATCACACAGGAACCGAGTCTTTAACACTCTAGATTGGTTGGTATAGGCTTTAGCCGACTTCGTCTCATAATTTGAGATTTGAGCTGTTCCGGTTAACACTACTTTGGGTGCGGCGTTCTGCCCGTTTGCTATATGCCTATATATGCTTCCTTATACTCCACGACGCATATAACCTTTTCTTTCTATTTGTTGGAATGGAAGCAGTACCTGGACGAAAACAAGTCCTTGATTCTGAAGATTGTTGAGAGCCAGAACTCCGGGAAGTTGAGCGAGTGTGCGGAGTAAGGATCTTGCCCAATCCTGATGTCAGCAGAATAGAATTAAAATGTTTCATGATTTGAATGGAAGCATGCGTGTTTTGTTTTTAGGAACCAAGCAAGGCTTCAGCGAAACCTCATGTACCTGGCTGCAATAGCGGATTCTCAGCCCCAACCACTTGCCATGCCTGGTCAGGTAAAATACTAATACTAATAGATTGCAACAGCCAGGCAGCAAGTAACAACCTGTGTCAAATGCACGCCCGAGTTAGGTACATGTGTTTATTTAATGAATGAATACGGTGCAGTATTCTGGTAGCGGGATTGCTCAACAAGGAGCACAGGACCTTCAGGGTCAACAGATGACACAGCAGCAACTTATGGCTGCACGCTCTTCACTTTTGTACGCTCAACAGCCTTTCTCGCCACTTCCACAGCACCAACCCTTCCACACTCAGCTAGGAATCAGTTCCGGTGCTTCAGCTCCACCGCCTCCATTTCACTTGCTCAACACTGAACCCGCTCACGTGGGACCCGGCTTCCCTGACTTTGGTGAAGCAAGAAACCGGGCTAAGCAAGAAACCGGGAGCTCAGCCGAAGCCGGTGGGGGAAGCTCCGGTGAAGCCCTCTACCTCAAACCTGCTGATGATTGAACAACGGAGTTAGCTGCTAGGGGGGATGCCTGTCTGTCTCAGGATACGGCTGATCATCGGACCTCGCTTGATGCGTCTTCTTCGTGGTGTAAATTTGGGTCCTCTAAGCATAAGCTTCTATAATTTCCCTCCTGTCTTGCGATAGTGTTTTTTTTCCCCCTGACCTAGTCCTGCCCGTTGAGATGAGATCTTTGGTCTCACAAAAATGGAGTGTTTAGAACATGGTGGTTCGATTTTTAAAAGAAGTTATCGAACATCTTTAGATTGATGTAGAGAAAATTACGCTAATGGGCTGAGAAGATGCAGAGCATTTGAGAAACTTTCCAAGGAGCAGACACTGGAAGATCTTGCAAACACGCATACGATAATTAGTGGCAAAGACCATGCAGTCGCATTGAAGGATTAAGACTTCAAAACTAAGATTCCAAAGTGTTAAATTACTTTCCCTTTTTGGGCCTCTAGTGAAATGAATTACCTACTACTACTACTATTATTATTATTATTAGTATTATTATTGTGGTCAAGGCAAATTACCTCTTTATGCTATGTTTGACCTTTTTGTAAAGGAGAAATTTTTTGATGGATTTGAAAAATCACATAATTTATGGTTTCTAATATAAAATTGCATCAATGAGATAAAATAAAATTTTATATGTTTCTTCTTTTATTTCAAATTATGTGACATTTTTAAATGAATTTGTTCGTCTTAGATGAAACATTTTGAGTAGGTTAAAATTAATTTTAATATTACTCTTTTTTTTTTATAATTAATTTATATTTTTTAATATATTAAATAATAAATATTTTTAAAATTTTATATTTTTATTTAAAAAAGAAAAGATTGTTAAGTATATTTAATAAAATTTATTAATATATAAAATTTTATTTAAAAATATTTTATAATAATTTGGGACGGAAGGAGTATTATTTTTAATAATTTTATTTTTATAACAGAATATTTATTTATTTATTTATTTTGCTTTTTATTATCATTAATATTATGATCAATTCATATTTAATATTCAACTTAACGCTATATTTTTATCAGATGGATCATATATGACGGCGTGCAGGTTCATCCATTTTAGTGAAAATCTATATCATTAAAATTTCTCAACTTGTAATTCTAATTCATTCACCCTTAAAACCATCCGCACTAGTTTTCCAGGATTGCCTTGAAAAACTAGAGCCCGTCAAACTTCAAAGCACCTCAATCTCGTCCTTTTCCTAGGTTGAACCAAATCCACCTCCACGTACCCTCCCCACACTTCAAATTCCCAATCACCATCTCCAACTCATGATTTTCACAACTTTTATTGATCCGTATGTGACAAAACAGTTATATAAGAGACGTTTAGGTGTGAGAAGACTTGCAATAATTAAAAAAAAACAAATTTTAAATAAAAGAATCTATGCACTCAAGTTTAAAGTTGAGATAAAATACAGTGCGATAATGAATAAAAACGTGTCTACCATAAAAGTGTGTGGAATCGAAATCAAGTGAAGCCAAATACAACCAAAATACCCGCTAGTGTGACAGAAAGTTATTTTCGTGAAACCCAGGGTAATTTGCTAATTCCAAGTTTGGCATCAGGTTGTTTGGTTCTATTAATATTCAGGAAAATGACAGAGATCCCAAAATACCAATTAATTCAACTTAGATTTGAGAGCTGAACTTATAACTGATTTTTTAAATTTTAACATGATTGAAGAATAAATAAATTTATTTTACTTATTAAAATTTGGAACACAAGTTACAAATTTGTCACAATGAGTTGCAACATTGAGAATTAAGCTTTTAAATTTATAGAGTTTGATACTTGGGACTTGAGACTTATTTGTCATTTTTCCTTCATAATTTCAATTGCCAGTCTTCAATAATAAATAGTTAAATGCTGTCGTTTCATCCTCCTACCTCATTCTCATTCGGTGTAAGTTTTCCTTAGATGTCATGTATTTCATCTTCGTATAAATTTTTAATAACAATTTATGGATTTGTAACGATATTTACTAAGATACTTGATGCATACATTGCTTATGATTGGTGTCCACATTAAAGAGAAATAAATATAAAAATTTATTGTGTCTCTAATAAAATTACTTAAATTATTTAATAAATAAAGAATATATATAAAATTTATTGTGTCTCTAATTAAATTAGTTAAATTATTTTAATAAAGTAAACTACTCTTAAATTTATTTAATATAAAAATTTTAACTTGACATAAGAGTCATTTCACTGGGGACCAGCAAAAAAAAAAAAGAAAGAGAAAGAAAAATGTGGAAAAAAAAGAACGGAAGAATGGTATCACTATCAGAATTCGGAACTACAAAATGAATATATATATATATATATATATATTATATATATATATATATATATATATTTTTGGGGGGAGAGGGGGGTGTGGGGTTTCCCTTGCATTTAAGACGCCTATAGTTTTCTATGCTGCTTAGCCTGGATTGGATGACACTGACACATGCAATAATTTTTCCAGGGGTACGGAACTTCGGTGCTTGTAAATATGATTTTCTCTATTAGTAAATTAAAGGAAGAATGACATTAAGGATCTTAAAAAATAAAAATTTTATATTTAAAATTTAATACATTTTGAAATTATTTTAAGAGCTTAAAGGTTTTATTTGTAATTATATTTTTTGATGAAATGACCAATTTATCTCTCTCATAACCTGTTGAAGGAAAATTTCTTTTTCTTTCTCTGTTCTTCCTCTTTCAATACTGATGCAATAATTAAATTTGTTTTACTTCCCATCATACTTCTCTATTCCCTCTCTTCGTCTTCCTCCTCCTTCTTTCTTTCTTTCTCTCATTTGCAGCTTTTTCGTTTAATAGATATGAGTGAGCGATCCACTTTTATCCAGATGAGTATGGAGAAGATGATCAGGCATTCATTCGATTACATTCCTCTCACGCTAACCAGCTTCTTGAAACGATCCCCATAGTGTGAAAAGAATGGATCAAGTGTTGCATCTATCATTATCAGTTTTATTTTCTCAAAAAAGGATATAGAGAGAGTTTGAGTCATATTAATTTTATCTAATTATAATGTACGCGTTCATGTTCATTTAATGAAAATAAGTTATTATTTATGAACTTTTTGTTGTTTCTGATACATATTTTTTTGAAACTGATATAAATGTTCTGGTGCAGATGTTGTTTATGAACTTTATGTTGTTATTTATGGAGTTTACATTGTGTAAACTTTACAATTAACTTGTGCGAATATTTATGTGTATCATATTGACAAACCTTGTATTGTAAATATATGAACATTGTGTTGTTAGTGAATGGATACTTTCATGTTATATACGGATCTTTTGTTCTTCATAAACTTGAGAAATTTTTTCAAATGTTCAGTTTAATCACACAAATCATGTGAAATAGATGGACATTGTGGTGTTAATAAATGGCCCTTATCATGTTATATACAGATTTTCTATTGTTCATAAACTTGAGAAACTTTTTGTTAAGCCTAGCCAACTGATAAAATGGACACATATGGACTTTCAGTTTAGAATATATGAAGATTGTGTTGTGCATGGTGGATATTGTGTTGTGCATTGTTTGCTTACTTGTGTATTTTGTCAAGCCTAACCTACTGATAAAGTAGAATCTTATGGACTTTTAATTGAAAATAAATGAATCTTATATTGTGCATAATGAATATTATGTTATGCATTATTTATCTATTTGTGCATTTTGTTAAGTCTAGCCTACTGATAAAGTAGAATCGTATGGACTTTTAGTTGATAATATATGAACATTAAGTTATGCATAGTGGATATTGTATTGTGTATTATTTGCATACTTTTACATTTTGTCAAGCCTAGCCTACTGATAAAGTAGAATCTTATAGACTTTTAGTTGAGAATAAATGAACCTTATATTGTGTATAGTGGATATTATGTTATGCATTATTTACCTATTTATACATTTTGTTAAGTCTAGCCTACTGATAAAGTAGAATCGTATGGACTTTTAGTTGAGAATATATGAATCTTAAGTTGTGCATGGTGGATATTGTGTTGTGCATTGTTTGTTTACTTCTGCATTTTGTTAAGTCTAGCCTACTGATAAAGTAGAATCTTATGGACTTTTAGTTGAGAATAAATGAACCTTATATTGTGTATAATACATATTGTGTTATGCATTGTTTGCCTATTTGTGCATTTTGTTAAGCTTAGCCTACTGATAAAGTAGAATCATATGGACTTTTAGTTGAGAATATATGAACCTTATGTTGTGTATAGTGGATATTGTGTTGTGCATTATTTGCTTACTTGTGCATTTTGTTAAACCTAGCTTACTGATAAAGTATAATCTTATAGACTTTTAGTTGAAAATAAATGAACCTTATATTGGGTATAGAAAATATTGTGTTATACATTGTTTTTCTATTTGTGCATTTTTTAAGCCTAGCCTACTGATAAAGTAAAATCATATGAACTTTTAGTTGAAAATATATGATTCTTATGTTGTGTATAGTGGATATTGTGTTGTGCATTATTTACTTACTTGTGTATTTTGTCAAACTTAACCTACTGATAAAGTATAATCTTATGAACTTTTAGTTAAAAATATATGAACCTTATATTGTGTATAGTAGATATTGTGTTGTGCATTTTGTTAAGCCTAATTTACTGATAAAGTAGAATCTTATAAACTTTTAGTTGAAAATAAATAAACCTTATATTAGGTATAGTAAATATTGTGTTATACATTATTTACCTATTTGTGCATTTTTTAAGCCTAGCCTACTAATAAAGTAGAATCATATAAACTTTTAGTTGAAAATATATTAACCTTATGTTGTGCGTGATGGATATTGTGTTGTGCATTATTTACTTACTTGTATATTTTGTCAAATCTAACCTACTGATAAAGCAAAATCTCATGGACTTTTAGTTGAAAATAAATGAATCTTATATTGTGCATCGTAAATACTGTTTTATGCATTATTTGCCTAATTTTAATATTTTGTTAAGCCTAGTATAATGATAAATTGAAATCACATGGACTTTTAGGTGAGAATATATCACAAACTTTTTTTTTTCTTGCAACCGTCTTTAACTAGCCGTTCTCCCAGAAGGCCACGAACAAGGAGGATAAAGTCTTCAAAGATAAGAAGATCTATCATTGTTCAAGATGTGAGAAAGTCAGACACAATCGCAAGACATGTAATAATCCTAACCCAGCATGAGAATTGATTACATTGTACTTCTTTAGTGTACACAAGCAACTATAATTATGTATATAAAAGAATTTTTAAATACTATTTTTTGGATGAGTGAGAATCACAAATATTTTTTGTTTGTATATAGAGAAGCAACTGTCAAATATTTTACATACAGTGGCTAACTTTTTATATATATCAGACTTGAAATATTGTGTCAAATTTTATGTGGGTACTTGTTTTAGTACGTAGACTAATACCAACATAAAATTATTC